ATGATTTTTCTTTCTCTTTTCTAAGTGCTATGGGGCAAAACAGTTGAGGGAAAACCTGAGTGATAACGGACTGAGACAGGTTTTTCTCATGGGAGCTGTAGGTTTACCCCTTACATGAGGAAAAGGGAAGGCAGAGAGGAAAGACAGATGAAAGTTCACCTTTCCAAATGGCTTAAGTTGGGGAGATTTTAAACCAGTAAAATTCCTGGGTTTAAATCTGTAGGGATCAAGCTGCAGAGTCTTTAAGGAAATCTGTGATCCGAGGCTGGAACAATGTACATAAGCAGGGCCTAAAGAGAGACATTTCCATTTCTGCAAGGCTTTTCTAGACAGCTTTGTCCACAGAAAACTTGTAAAAGGGAAGGGGAAGAGAAAAGAAGTGAAGGAAAACGGTGACTGGAGAGATTTCCTGAGACGAATCAGAAAGAAATAGCCATAGACTCTCTCCCTGCAACCACACACCCCAGGAGCTCCTTGCAGGCAGCTGCCAGCCCAGAGGCAGCCAGTTATGCCCAAGTTATTTATTTTTCCCACTTTAGCAGTGTCACGTACTTAATGTTTTAAAAAATAGTATCTTCTTTTATCTGTGGCAGGACACAAAGCAAGAAGCAGCTTCCTAGAGCAGCCAGGCAGAAGGGAGCTGGCAACCTGTGCTGGGTCAGGAGGGTAGGAAGATTAGAAGGAGATGGGATTTTGCTTTGTCCTTCACGGAAGACTTTATCCCCTCCAGATACACAACAGAAGCTTTCTCTCCCTTGGAGGTTGGCCGGCAATGGCCTTCCTGTCTCTCAAAGCTGCTCCTGGGTCATGCACAGGGCAAGCTGTGAGCAGCGCAGCCCAGTCCCCTGCCCCAACTGCAAACCCAGACACCGGCCCCGTGCTCCCCACCTGCCCCATGAGGCACTGCAGGACCCGTGCCTCTCTTCCTTGGGTGGCAGTTGTCCCTGCGCCAGCCCTGGCTCCCCTCCCGCTGCAGGGGGATGCTGATCAATTAGGGCCCAACAAATAATTAAGCTGATGAATGTCTCTTTTTCCTGCTTGCTGACTGCGGTTGCCTCCAATTTATGCCTAGAATATAAGTGAATTTATTCGCTGCCATTTGTAGCATTCAAAAGAGGGCTTTAATGATTTCTTTTAAGCTCCCTAGCCCAATTGTGAATAGCAAAGGGCAAATACTCATTATTCCCTATCTAAGCAGCAGTGCTGATTAGTTGGTGGTTTGTCAGATAAGTCACACCACTCTGTTCCCCTCTCGCTGCAGAAATGCACAAGGTCATTTGCTGCTAATGCTCAAATCCAAAGGGAAAATATGGCCTCCTGGAAGTCCCTGGTGCATTTTCAGGGCAACAAAACAGGAGCATGCAAAATCTCACATGAAATAAGAGGGCTCAGAATGAAAGTGAATATGGGTTGAATAATTTTGCTTTCACGCAGCCTGGTTCACAGCATTGTGTGCAGCTGAAAGTGCGTTTGGGAGGGTGGTGGGATTGCAGCGAAACTTAGTCTTGTCAGTTCGCGGACATTAAAGATCTGAAACCAGCTTTTACTTGACTGTTAACTCCTGAATCTTCACATGATGCAATGTTAATCTTCAGCCCTTTCCTAAAATAATGTGCGGAGTTGCTATGTTCTGTTTAAATGTGAACCATGTGTCACCTCAGCAATGGCTGCAACGGTGAAAAGATGATAAATCTCAAGCTTGTAAAATGTCCTGTGACATTTTGGGAGAAAAACAGGTGTTGCATAAATGTTAGACATTTATGGGTAAACTTGCAGGGGCTCTAAAAGACTGACACATCTGCCACATAGTATGTAACCCTGAAAGGAAAGGAGCAAAGCAGGCTCTTTCATGTGTCTCGTTCTTTCTACAACCGAATGAAAATACATCCTCATCTGGTATTGGAATTAAGAGAACTGGACTTGCCCCTCCCTACGTCTCCTCCAGGTTTTTGGCTTTTACACCCAATGTGTATTTTAAAACTGTGCCTTTTTAAGTAGGTGGCAAACTGTGCTGGAAGGATTTGGTATGCGGAGTATTTTTATTCAGCTCCCTTTTCTCTCACCTTTCATTGTTTTTCCCTTTGGAATATCTCCTGTAACACTCCACTCATAAACCTCTTCAAAGGGAGGGCTGTATTTGAACAGCCTGGCCTGAAATCTGGTCTCAGTCAAAGGCCTCAGACGGGAAAATCACTCGCAGAGTTGAGCCCCAGGGCTGCTGCCACAGGTGGCGGCGGCCGCTTTGCAGGCAGAGAGGTGCTACCTCTTCGTCTCCGACCCTGCTTGGGTTATTATTCCCCCCTTTACCCTATAAATGTAATAAACTAGGACTTAGCATTTTGGTTTTGGCACAGAAGGTCCGAGGAGAAGGTGGTTTTCTTGCTTTTTTTCACTTTGTTCAGCTCCTGGGATGTTGTTGGTGTTTTGGGAGAGAGATTTGGGAAGTTGAATGCATGCCGAGGAAGTGATGGGTCCTGTGGTTCAGCCCTCAACCCGCGTGATCTCTAGGATGGGTGTTTCTAAAGGCTGAACTAGGGTAACTCCAATTCCCCTGGTCACAAGGATACAGCTCTCAATGAAATCAGAGGAAGAAGACTTAAGTCTTACCTCCAAAACCTCCCTCTCTATGAGGAAATCCATCAGATGTGCGACCAGCTGCCTGTCTCTGAACCACTTGCCGTTCGCACTGGGCAGTTTAAGCACACAAACCAGTAACCAAGTGGGCTACAAAGTGCTTTCCCCCTCTTGGGTGGTCACTTGGTTTCTGTGTGGCAGCGAAGCAGGCAGATATTCTGAGAGTGACTCGCCTGGCTGGTAAGTGCTCACAACTGTACAGATCCCACTCTGTCTCAATTCCCTGCCCAGCAATAAATCATCCCAAACCTTAATCCTATCCCTCTCCCCATCAATTCGCCACTCACATCCCTTGTGTTTCAGTCCAATCCCCACCCTGGCAATACATTGTGCCCTTAGCTCCTGTCTTGATGGGGCTGGTTTGGGTCGGTCCCGTCCCAGCCACCTCAGTTCCATTCCTCTGGCACCTCTTTGAGATTTTTCATCCTCAAGCCTGGAGGCAGCGAGATAAAGTTTCCCAGGCAGGCTGTTGGAGGAGAAGACCTACGCCATGCTGAGCTACCAGGCACTTCCAACTCTGCCCTCCTAGCTGGTGGGCCTGTGAGGTCAGTGAGCAAGCTGAGCTTGCCCTTGGGCTGCTCCTCCCAAGGAGGCAGAAAAGCAGCCAGAGATGGGAATCCCTTCTTGGAGATGACACTGAAGACAATTTGCTGCCTGTCACCCTGCTCATCTCTGCAGCGGTGGATTCAGCAGGGAGCCCTGTACAGTGTCTCCGTGCCCTACTCCATCCCTGGGGAACAGAGAAGTTCACCTGCCTCTGCTTCCCTCCCAGCATGTGGCTTGAAAAAGAAACACAGCAATACAGGGGAAATATGTCCCAAAAGGTGCATTTAGGAAAACTACTTCTTCCCCAGTGGAGAAATGAACTCCTTCCATTTGCCAGCATGTGTCCACTTCCCTTTCCAGGTGTTCCCAGAGGGGACAGAGATAGCCCACAAAGCTCTGCTGGTAAGAGATCTTTGGTGGAACCAAGGAAAAGAAGCTTCTGACCAAAGCTGTCTTAGAAAGGACTGTTCCCTGCAGGGAGGTCTTCTTTCCCACAGCTGTGGTAGAGAGGACCTTCTTCCTCAAATGAGTGAAATGAATGATGTCTGCTGAGCCCAAGCTCCCTCAAGTTTTGGAATTTTATCCATATATATCAGATACTTCACACAGCTGGATCATCACTCTGATCTACACTCAAGTCTTGAAGACAAAGTAAAAATCTCACATGTCAGAAGCTAAAATTTTCTTTCCTTTCTTTGGGAAACAAGTTTAAAATCTATCCTGGTTATAAAACACACGAAATGTTGTACTGCTTCAGACTACAGGTTCCATTGCTTCAGTCACTGTCTCTAACAGTAGCCAGAAGTGGGTGTTAAAGAAGCACAAAAGTGTAAGATACATGGAGGGATCCTTCCCCAGGCTACAAACTGCATCCAGATAACAGTGTTTAATGGCCACTGAAGGAGGTAACCTCCACAAATATACCTGTTCTCTTTTTGATTTCAAATATATTTTTGTTCTTAGTAACTCCATGGCAATTCATCCCATCGTTCAAATACACATTGGCCAAACAAGAAATCTCTTTCATTTGCTTAGATCCTGCTCCCAGGTATTACCAGTTCAACACCTCTTTGCCCTGTGATAAGAAACAGTGGGTTTTATTTTCCTCCCTGCATTAAATGTTTTTATGAATCTCTGCTACTCACCATGCCCACTGTCTCTTCTGAAAGGGCAGCAGGACCTGTTCTATGTGGTCTCTGTTTGCGCAGAAGATATTTCACATCTCAGCCCTGCTGCCCTGCTCCACACCATTCTCTGTCTCACTCTGTCCTTTAGGAGATGGGATGGTCAGCAGAGAGCCATGTGCATGTGGGTACATACAGATCAAAGTACAGACCTTCAGTGATGCTTTCATTTTGATATCTGTTCATTTCCTAGTGACTCCTAACCTTTAGTTTCCATTTTGAGCATTGAGGGTGGATAGCAGGACAGGCAAATGTACCCTTGTCAGTGTTGCTGTGTGAAGGGCTCCTGAGCAGTAGGTGCAGCTTTGCTGATGGACAAGTGCCAGGGTTTTGGAGGGAGCCAGACTTTGCCTATAGAGAAGCTAAGGTTTGTTTGCAGTAAGAACAAATGAATACCACTATTTCAGAACCTGCCTTGCACAAGTATAAGGTGGGTTATGATGAGAAACGCACATGCATATCACAAGAGGATTTCAAAATGAACCAAGAACCCAGTGCCTATGGTGAGCTGATGTCTGGACTGAAGGTCCTTCTGAGACCTTGGATCGCCTTTGTTCTAGAAAAAATAATTCTTTTCCAAGCACAAAGCAGCACTCAGGAAGGAATTCCCAATGAAAAGAGGAAGGGCAGCCCTACCTTTTTGGTCTTGACTGTTGAGGCGCAGCAGTCCCCACCATCGTAGTTGCAGAAGGCTCGGTTGTTGATGGAGTCACAGTAGTTGTCCCCCATGAAAGGCTGAAAAGGAAAAAGCAGAAAGAGGCTGAGAGCATGGACATGAATAAATCCTGCAACAATATGTCAGAAGGAAAACAAGCAACTTGAAGGAGCCATGTAGTTTGTAACATTACCAACTGCCCTGAAAAGCAATAGAGAATTATTTCCCTCTCCCTTCAAAGCAGACAGAGAAAAAAAAAAGGACACTAGATGGAAGGGAAATGAGCCCTTGTTGGCTTTTCACATCCCACATAAGATGATGCTTCAGGAATATTAATGTGACTAGGCCCAGAGACAGCATCAAGGCATCTATAATTGCGGCACTTTTTGATAATGTTAAGCTAACCTTCCAAAACTATGTGGGATAGGAAGAAGGTTATGTATAGCAGCAAAACTGGCTTGCTTTTAATAGCTGTACTTTCCACCACAGTTCTCCTAACTATGCAACATGTGTCAGCAATGAGGGCACAAAACATATCACAGAGAGAAATGGCAGTGGTCTGATCTCAGCACAGGGACCATGTGTTCTCATTCTCTGACCAGCAGTAACCCAGTGTGACCTTGGCCATGACACGTCATCTTCCACTGCTCCACAGCTTAGAGCTGGGATAATGGCCATTATTCAGAGGGACGTTGCGGAAAGCTATTAAGTAAAATTCATAAATCACCTTGGAAAAGAAAATGTGGTCACTAGTCTGTGCAATGTGACACTAGTCTATGTGCTGCACAGGACGTGAATCACAATCATAGTTGTAACGGAAAGGCTTGAAGGCCTTTTGGTCAGCAAGTACAGAAGTCTTTCCTGGAAGTCAAAACTGTGCCTGATGCTCAAAAAGGCCCTTGCCAGGTATGAGAATCCCAGGAAGCAATGAAAGCTCAGAGAAATGGGTGCTCAGCAGAGAGCACAGTTGTATCTGTAATACGTCTTACACGCACTGGCTCATGGGGCCATTCCCATTTTATCTGCTCTTTGGAAAATTCATTTATTCTGCAGTGAGAAAAGCACACCAGGGACTTTTCCTACAAGAAGGCATCATTGCCGAGCAGGTGGGGAGCCTTGTGGAGGCTTTCTGGGAGGATTTTGCAGTAATTGCAGTACCAAAGTCTCCGGGATGATAGATGCCTGAAGAACAAGCCATGAGAGCTCACTGTGCTCTCCCCAGACAGACCCATGGCTGTGCTCATCAGCAGGGAAATGGACCTTATGCAGTGGTGTAAATGCATGCTATTGCTGCTCATGTTTTGCACGTTTAAATATTTCTATTGGGGTATAGCAAATCTGGCCAACGATGGACCACAACAGGACTGCCAGGAGGGGACAGACTCATTGCATGTCACTTGTTTAGCTACACGCAAATACTACAAATGCTGACCAAGAACTCAGAGTTACAAGGTGAAGCTCCTATCCCTGTAACCCAGCTTAACTCCACTGTGACTTCCACAGAGATTGACTTCTTTATACAGGCAAAGACTTTGACTTGCAGATGTCCTTCCAATTTAATTTATATGCTAAGAGTTAAAAAGGCATTATTTATAAGTAAATGGAGATATATTTTTATGCCAAACTGGTCATAGTCAAAAATACTAACTTTGTCCAACCTCCCAGGAAATTGTGTAGGTTTCTTCATGTTTCCCTTAGATTGCCTGGCTCTGTCTGCTTGTCAAGAAAGGCTTGACTTTATTTTTCCATGCCTATATCCTACACCTATGAACACTGGAAAATCAGTAAAAGAAATATGTGGAAAAAATTGCCTTTCACTTGCACTGGCACAGAGCAAGGCGAGTCAGTCCTTTGGAGGAGAAGAATGGGACAAATAGCATCTACTCTGCTGTGGGACCAAAATCCTCATTTGGGAGACCTTGGAGGCCTGGCTGTGGAGGGTGAAGTCTCTACAGGGCTTCATGCATATCAAAGTGCTCCTGTACTTTTGGAGGACTATACAGATAGTCCAGAGGGGCTAGTTTTCTACTGAAACAACCCAAGTAGCTGCCGGGGAGTACGGGGCTGACTCAAAAACCTCTATTCCTGCCACTAGGGAGCGACAAAAAATCACATTGCAGCAGCAGTCTGGGTTACCACTGTGACCACCAAGAGTAAAGTAATGCCCCGCTTACAGCCTTCTATTCAGGGAACCCTTCCTAATGCTGAGGATATTAATACATTAGGGATTGTATCAGCTTAATGGCCCAGTATAATTGACCTACTGGCTTATTAGTCCCTGTTTCCATAGTCATGAAAAAAGGCTTGGTGAATATGGCATCTCAATGCCAGCGAACAAGCTCTGGACCATTCGTGGCTCCTGGAAGCATCAGGCTCTAAAAATGATGCTAGAAGCCATTATCAATTGTCTGGGCAAAGCCTTCCAAGATGATAGATTGCGATGCAGTGACACTGCTGAATGAATGATGAAAAGAAGAAAGTTCCTATTGATGTAGTGAGGTCTGGCAATTAACAATGATGGAAGGGAAGAAAATGCTGAGAAAAAGCATGTCAGTAATAATGGCTTCTGGTAAATTATTACATCATTGCAAATTTTGCCTCAGTAACAACTATCCTTAACCAGCAGGAGAATGGATACCCAGTGGTGCATCAGCACCTGAATGGCATTTCTTAATGGTTGCTGGATGTTATTTTAGCTCTCTTTGGAGAATAGGGGCGCCTAGCCAGCCTGCATGAATGCAATGCGTGAGATGGCTTATGACATTCAAAGCACTGACAGCAGAATGCTTTTCATTTAGGGAACAACTCGACAGAAACTATTACACTGTTGGAGAGTTATTACCCTCTTGGGCCCAACATTTGTATGCAAAGGAAACCTGTCTTTCACTTCAAGACAAATCACGTCGCCCAGCAATGTGGTCTAGAGTTTCGTGTCACATTTAGGAATTCTGTGCCATGTTCTGCCACTCCAGGCAAATAACTTTAAAGTGCTTGTAAAATTGGGTTACTGGGTGCTGAGAGCACAGTTAGTGCTGCAGACAGCCAGGAGGTGTGAGGTTAAGACACAGCTCTTCCACTGCCCATGGAACTGAAGCAGCCATCTACCCCTCTGCCTGTGAGGTACCCCACTTCTGAAACGAGCATGAAGCTTCCCAGCCTCACAGAAGCACAAGGGGGGTTGGAACTAGATGAACTTAAGGTCCTTTCCAACCCTAACTCTTCTATGATTCAACTTCTTGACATGGGTGAGATACTCAAGGGCTGGCATGATGGAAACTGCAGGAGCACCATGACCCAGGGAGAGATGCTCTAGCCCTGTTTAACCACTGGAAGCATCTTAACACTTCTCGGACTTTTTGTTACCAGCAGAAACAACATCCTTCAAAATAACCGCTTTTTTCAAATGACAGAAAAGACTCTCGAAATGTATCACAGCTCAAATGTAACTGCATTTTCCTGGGGTTTTTTCTGGTTCAGATGGAAGTGCACAGTGGAGGGATGTGTGATTCACTCACTATCTACCCAGTGGTATCATCTCTTCCTCTGGCTTTCCTGAAGTTTATCTGCACACACCAATGCTCAAAGCCTAAATGGGCTTGGGAAGCATTAGCCCTTTAATGGGATGTCAAAATCAAGGAAAAACATCTGAAGGTTTTTGCAACTTCCCAGAAATTCCCTGATCCTGGGTAATTTTGATGGTCTACCAATGTTGTTGAGCTCCTTGATCATTTAAATCCCATGAGAGCCACCCAACCATCGGCTCTAGGAAAACCACCAATTTCACCACTGAGTGTACAAACTAACGCAGGCAACCACAGTCTGACATAGTCAGGGCAAAAGCCTGTTTGTCCCACTTGAAAACCAGCATTTAGAGCCCATGTGTCTGCAGTGATGGTTACCAGAACGTTTGGTAACATGGACCACCCGAGCTAACATGAAAGCTCACCTCGCAGCCTTTGACACAATGAATCAGGGAAGGGTGAGGGTACCACTTGAGTCCCGCTGTGCAGACAACGCTCTGGAGGGAAGAAGAAAAATACCCAACAGGTTAAGACAAAGAAATCAGTGTACAGAAAGTCAGTGTGCTGGCTCCTATGGCTCTCCTGTACTTAACCAATGAAGTTCAGTTCCTAACACCTCTTGTGTTCTCAGGACCTGGCTGTCCTCCAGGTATTTACAAGAAGTGTTGGACTTGACACTTGCAATAACAGAACATTTGAGATTAAAATAATATTTAAGGTTCTCCGAAAATGTCATGTCCAATATTTCACTCATGGTGGGGGAATGTGGCAGGGAAAGGCAAAGGCACAGGTCCACTGTCTTGCTCTTGGGTAGGGGGGGGATTTCTTTGGATTCTTTGGTGCTGCAAAGCCTTGCTCTCTTTCACCCACCAGACCCGTGCTTCCTGAAGATGGAAACAGCTGAAGGTCAACTTTCAGATACATTTTCGCACCATCTTAAATAAAAGCACCTCCCACTACACACCTTCAGAATAACTCCCAGATAGGACAGCATCATCTGCTACATTTCATGAGCTTTTTCATTCCTGTATAAACTCTGTTTACAGATTTTCTAGAGGAAGAAAGTTGGAGTGTTTAGTTTGGGGTTGAAATGATGACCAACGTACTCAATGACTACACACCTGGGAAGCCACTGTTTGCCTTTCAACATAGAAAATGAGATTTTAAGAGTGGATGAAAAGTTTGGGGTGACAGGGATGGTGGTTCTATACCATGGAGGTCTGGGAGATAGAACTCCCATCCACTCATCAGGACATCATCACAGGCTCATTTTGAGTTATCATCCATGGGTGGAACACTACAGTGTCCACTTGGGCAAGATGAACACATAGGTGCTCACCCAAAGCCAGGGGTCAGGGTTGGATGGAGGCCTGGGGAAGGAAAGGGATTAACATTTGGGAAGACCTGACGCACAAGCCATCCCTTCCCCTGTTTATTTGAGGGCTAATTTAATCCATCTGCAGGGGAACCTCAGCATGTTTTTACAGTTTCTGTCATTTGAGGCTTACCTGGCGTGGGTTAGAGAAAGGACTTTTATACTATCTGACTGGGGCTGTTTATCTTTCCGATGCTCTCGGATTTTCCACTATTAGTCAAACCCGGCTTGCCCCACCTGCCTCACAACAGGGCCCGTCTGTGTGAGCGGAGAAGCGGCCAGGAATGGGGGGAGGATGTTGTTTATCCCTCGGGAAGCAGGCTGCAAGGTGCGGGGGCCCTGCGGTGTCAGACCTTCCCCCAGCACACTCTGACAGACAGCTGGAGATTTCCAGGCTGTTGCCTGCCACAAATGGTGAGGGGTTTAGTCTGATTTTTTTCTCTGCTTCTGTTTATTACACTTCACAGGGAAAAGAAAGGAAACTTTTCTAGGCTTCAAAATAAACAAGGCGAGTCAACAGGCTGGGAGGGGGGAAGAGTAAAGGAAGCAGTTCAAGAACATTTGAAACCAGGAATTAAAACAAAGTAGAAAAACTCAGGCGGTTGCCTCCCGTATTCAAGGACAGGCAGACAATGCGTAGAAGTGCACTTCCAAAGAGCATCTCACATTCCCCTGGTAAGAAGCATCAATGTTTACAGAACCTCTTAATATGTGTGAATGTGTGTGAGCATGTGGAGCTAACAAAAGGAGCTGGATAGCCCTGAAACAGGCTCTGAAGAGAGGCAGTTTCCAGCAGTTCCTCACAGAAGAGGCACTGACTACTTTCCAGACCCTCCCAGTATTAAAAACCCAGCACCTTCTCTTAAAGGAATGAATGGAAGGTGAAGTCTCTGCTAGGACAGTGCTCTCCTCGGAGCTTTCGCTTAAGATCATCCTTAATCCCAACAGCTGCACAGCCCTAGGCTGTACATCCTCCGGGGAATGTGAATGCAGCCTCAGGTCTCTCTCCGTAAGTAGGAAAGCCAACTGACCTCATGCTAGATTAACCACTGGTCAGTGGGACATTCACACTGCTCTTCAGTCGTATCTGCCTGCAGCTTAGTCCCAGTTACTTTGCCTTCTCCTTGGATGATACTTTACTAATGGAGATGTTAGAGCTGAATTCAATCATGCTAACTTCATGCTAATTCATGGAGCTGGAAGCAGAGTACTCTCAGGGAAGGGCCATGGTCCTGGCTTCTCTTGCTGGTTTTCCAAACCCTGAATTCCCTGTTTGTACCCTCAATTTGCTTCTGTGGTATGTGCAGTGCAACAGGATGGGAGAAAGTGTGGGTAGAGGGAGAGAGTGGGCTGGAAAACTAACAAATTGGGGATGACTAGGGTTGTCGGGCACTGTTCCTGCCTCTTGCAGTGCAAACAGGCACACAAGGTGCAATAGGGTGCTGGATGGGGCAACTGAGACAAATAAACGTATCCAGAGCAAGCAATGAAGGGTACAGGTTTTGCTCCTGAGGGGCACGACCAGGATCTGGTGGCATCAGTGCACACAGAAAGGAAGGTGGTCTCACAAGGCCAACAAGGGATGCAGTAAGAGATGGATGGAAAGACCACATCCGACACATACCAGGCAGTGCATGGGGGATAAAGCCCATCTGGCCACTTCCTCTGCCAGTCCCATCCCTTCCCCTTGCTGCCACTGTGGTGACATCTGCTGCCCTCATGGCCCCAGCTCCCCTCATGCATCGGCTTCTGCAGCTCTGCAGCTGCATCTGCCACACTGTGCAGTCAGGTCTATTGACTTTGGTCGTGTCCCCATCCCAGAAACACCATCCAGCCACATCTGCGGTTTGCTGGCTGTGACTCCATCTGCTCCGAGGGGAGAGGAAGCCAGGATGCGCTCCCACAGTAGGTAACAAAGAGCCAAGAAAGCAAATCAAGCTGTCATTTACTCCTTGTGAGGGAAGACCTAGTGCCTCCGGTCACAGCACTTCCCTCCCATGGTGGGACTAACACAATGATGTCAACCATTTGTGGGCTGTGAAGGGGATTAGGTTTCCCCAAGAGAGGCTGGTGGAGAGCTCTCCTCCACCTTAGATGGGTCAAGTGTCCCCCAGGGCTTATGCACAGTGACTGGTATCTACTGGTCACAGCTAACTCTCTGCTCAGCCACTAAATGAACATGACAACTGTGTGGCAGTGGTGAGGGGATCAGCTACTGCTGCCAAGAGAGAGAGGAGACATAGAGCTTTGTGGTTGTTTCCTCCTGTAGCTCCAGACAGGGTGGGAACTCTTGACATCCCAGGCACTAAGCTGCCAAAGTAAGTCATTCCACCGCTCCATGACTCAGTTTCCCTGCCTGCAAAATGAGCCCAACGCTCACAGAAAGGGGAGAGGGAAAGGAAGGAGGAAAACTGCAAAGCTTAAATGAATAGAGGAGTATTTATGGAGAATTCCTACTAATGACTTATGGACATCCAGAAATCCCAGGGCTTGCAGTGCATATGGGAAGACACATCATCAGCAGTAGTGCAGCACCCCAGGAGTGTGGAGAGGCCATGGCCACACTTAGCCCTGCTGGTAGGCAGAGCTGGGGCATGTCAACCCTTTGCAGGTCATCCCAGGTGCACACATGCTTGTGCAGTGTTTGGCTCAGCACAAAGGCAAGGACCCAAATTCAGACAACCTAAGAAATTAGATGTCTGCCCTGTTCCTTTGCAGTCAGTGGGAAAGAACTGTCAAGTTGTCTTTGTGAGATATTTCCCTTTTTTCTCTCCACTGCCTGCACAGTCAGTCTTGGCAGCTCTATCTATAGGTGTCTTCAACAGCTCACTGCCCCTCAGTAAATGGGAAATCATGGGAACAGCAGTGATTGCTCTGAACACGGCCCACAGCAGAACCACAAGATTTCAGGTGGTTCTTTTGTCCTTGCTGAAAGCACTGATTGAGAAGACACTGCCAACTTACACTGATTTCAGCAAACTGCTTAAGATCCAACAAAGCAACTCAGCCTAAACCAATTCTGACAAAAAGAGTCATATGAGTTTGTCAGACGTCCATTGCAATGAAATATTTGTTGTTGTTGTTCCTTTGAGAGGACATTTAATTTCTGATTTTTTTTTTTGTCATTTTCATTAAACAAAAAGTTTTCAAAAGTCCTTGGAAATGAACTGCCACATTCTGTTCAAACCAGTATGTTTTTTCCTCCCATTTTTTGGTTCACTAAAAAATCACAACAACAAACCAGGCCCTTTGATTAAGGAGAAAACATTTTGTTTCTTCATCTGACACAACTTCAAGTGAACCGAAAAATCAAGTGATTTGCACAGCTCTAATCTAAACAGCCCCCAGAGGAGGAACGGTTCCTTTTTCCCTATTTGCTTCCATAACATCTATTGCTTGAGCAGCTACACATAGATGCTGTTCTTTTTCCTTGCTGGCTCTCCCTGGGTGTTATCTGTGCCTGTCCTCTCAAAGGTAAGCTCCACAGGTCGGTCCTACCTTAATCTGCTTCTCATTTGTACATTACTTGTGCCTGAAATTAAGTCACTAGAAGTGTTTCCTTTGTGTCACTCATGTACTTGGAGACCCACAAAGACTTGCCGTGTAAATGCAACCAGCTGCTCCCTTGACTCATATGACACAGCAGCAAGCTGTCACTGACCATAAACAGGGACACCTATTATTAATGGTATATAACACACTGCCATGGGGACCTTCCCCTAAGGCATCCCAGTCCTGTCTCTCCACGGGGTGTCCCCGGTCCCACCAGCAGCAGCATTTCCCCCATGAGGTACCACTCTCTGTGGGTGACATCCCCTTATCTGGAGAGTTGAAGAAGATGGATGATGTACAGCTACGAAAAAAATCCCTTCTATCATGTCTCAGCACCATCTCACTTGACTCGTAAAGGCTCCCCTCCATCTTCCAACACAAGTTTTCAACCTGAAATCCCACCCTCTAGTTACAAAATATTTGTGGGGTGAGACTTATCTCTGCTCACAGCCTAAAGCTCTTGCAAGATCCTCACCACCAGGGCAGGAAAAGGTCTTATTTATCACTGTACTCTTGGAAAGCATGATTTCTCCTCCATCCCTCATTCCCCTCATCTCCCCCTTTACTACTCTGTTTTCCCTGCTGCCTAATGAGCCCTCCAGAGACCTGCAGGTATAAAACTCGTTACAGCTCCCTCTGCGCACCCGCATCAATAAACGAGGGAGCACAGCAGAGAACAGGAGGGAAGCTGTCACTTTATTTCACCATGAATTACAAAACCACTTTAAAGTCAAGCACTCGGGAAAGGACCGGTGAGAAATGGTCCCAAATACAGAGATAGGGGTTTTCTTTATGCTTCATGCCAGAAACTTGGCAAAGCCTAGGCTTAGGCGATAATATAATCTCATCATCTGGAGTGAATGGTAAGCTGGGAAGGACACTGCAAACTTGGTTTGTTCTCTGGACTTTGGTTCCCCACTGCTTTCCAGGATTTATTCTATTGCTCTGTGTGAAACAGGGAAGTATAAAGTGGTGATTTTTCAGAGCAGCTCACCATCCACAGCCAAGGCCAGATTTCAAAAATCCCAAACCCTGGGTACATATTTAGGCATGTAGAGAAGCAAATAGACTGTCAAAGCTGATCAGAACATGCTGGGGCTGTGCTGGCTGCTTGTTCTCCTCCTAAATGGAGAGTTCCAGTGTGTAAAACAGATTCCTGCAAAGCCAGGGCCAAGTATATAAAAGTCAGTAAGTGTTTAAGCATCACCAGCAATCTGCATCCTGGTGACACAGGGTGTGCTGGTGTCTTCTGACATGCACTTGAGCATGTCCAGATAAACATCTACACCATGCAGGCACAAGTGCTGGTTACACGCATTTTGAAGTATGAGGGCACATTTGTGTAGATGGCAGGAAGGGGGTTTAGGAGGAGGTAGATGAGTGTGTCCCCCAGTGTCTCCCTCCAGTATCCAAGTGTCTCCCACTGGTATCCAAGTATAGGCATGAAACCAAGCAGGTCTTCGCTGCAGGTAGCCTGTGCATATAGGGTGAGCGTGTATGCAAGGCGCTGTGCATGGTGTACATGTCCCCATCAGGGCAGACCTGGAGGACACACAGGATGGTGTGCCATGAGTGGTTAATGCTGCCTGAGCATTTGCTGCAGGCAGGAGGAAGAAGTGGTGACCTCTGGAAGGGGCTGTGCTGAGCAGGCATCTCTTGCATGTGGGCGAAGGGGTGGGGGGAAGGACTCAGCCAGCTCTGCTGGTTCAGGAAATGAAATACTCTCTGTATCAGCTTCTTTTGTCATCCAAAAGCAGTGCAGAAAAATCCAGCCCTGCCACCCAAAGAATGCAAAATACTGAACAGGAGGAAGAAAATAAAACCTGGCCAGTGCCCTTTCTCTGTCTGTTTTCCTGTGTCATGAATCATGTTTCCAGATCAGACCCATTGTAGGTGCCAGGTGGATGTGAGCACACTGATGTGGGGCTTTTACCTTGAACTGACTTTCACTTGGAAATCACAGAGGGAAAGCAACTTGGAGAGGAAGCCATCACATTACCCAAACGACATGTAAAGACACAACAAAAATCAGGTACTCTTTTCTGAAGGGCAGAATTCCCCATGTATTCCTCTCACTGAATGAACCACAGGTAATGCTGTTCACTCCCTGCACATCAACACGCAACAAGGGATGTAGGTAGTGAAATTGCCAGGCACTGACCTTCACTCTTTGAGGGTTCATCCAGTGCTGGATGTCTTGCACGGTCTCGTTCACACGCAGGAGGATGGGCTCGTGACTGTGATCCAGACATGAGGTGGTACACTCCGTGCCTGCAGGAAACACAACAAGGATAAAGCTAAGGGATAAAGCAAGCAGATTCTGACCCTTTCAGCATCCCTCCAGCTGAAGGACAGGATTACAGCTCGTTTTTCCTAAATTGCAATTAGCAGTCAACCAGAACTATCACATATCTTCTAGGCACACATGAAATGCTGAGTACAGCCCTGCACCTCAGCAGATCGTGGGGGTGGCAGATATTCCAAGGCCTTTATGTATAAGCTGCATATCTCTGGCTATTAACTCCAAGAGGGGGGTCAGGTTTTGCACTTTCAGATCATCAAGGAAACGTGAAGGTTTTTCCATTTCAACTGCTCTTTCAAGCAATGGGATTGATTAAGCAGAGGCCGTTGAACTCACCTCACCTATGACATGACAAAACCTGACCGTCTGATCTGTCACATTTACAGACCTTCAATAATAATCTTGCAGAGGATGCCCAAGCCTAACGATATTGCAGGCGAGCTAGCACCTAAGTTCACAGTCGATAAGAAGTACGTGGAGAGGTAATGATGGCTTTGTTCACACATAAACCTGCTTTTTCTCTGATTAACTGTCATGCCCAGTGGGAATCCTGTCCCTTCTTTATTAAAACGTGCTGCGATATTCTACAGCAATATCCCAGAGCCCTGTGGTGACACAACCGTAAGCCCTAGTGTGTTGGACCATTACCATTTCCCCCCTGGAAAATCACTCCTGAATGGCACAGCTGCTGCAAACATGTCATTAGGATTTCTGCACTCCAATCAGCACTGGGGGAGGAATTAATCTCCACATTGGTTCGGAGAGCTGAACCTTTGGCTCAACACACACCTCAGCCTGGAAGGGCAGATTAGGTGTCTGAGGAAGTACTGAAGGTGTGTGGGACTCATAGTGACCATGACTGGATGCTATTATTTTCCCCACCTGCTTCTGCCTTCTCATATACTCCCACATGAAGGAGTCACTGGGAGCAGAGCAGACCTGGGCTGTTGAGCCAGGAAGATGGGGAGGACTTGGGGTTTGTTTTGCTTTCCCAGTACGCATGATAGTGGCTCCATGGACCCACTGGAGGAGGCCCATTGACACCAGCCCCATTGCAAGTGAGTAGCAGGAGAACACCTTCTCAGAAGGACATCGATCAGGCTTCCAAAAATACAAGGAAGAGAAGGAAAACCCAACAACCTGATCCCAAAAGGTGGTGCTGGGCGAGCCTAACCAAGTGTGTGGTACGTCTCCATCTGCTGAGGATAAGAGCCAATGGCTGCTGTGCCCTCACTGAGCTCTTCCTCCTTCTCCAGCAAGCGCCACACTCTTATGGAGGATATGGCCCATGAGTCCCTCACTTCCACGACAGCTGTGTGGTCCCATCCCAGAATCAGGCCCACCAGACCTTGCATACGTTGGACTGGTACCTCCTGACAGCTACCCTTGGAAGAGGACTGAACGCTGTCAGGCACCCACTGGGTGGGTAGCTGTAGACCCTCCTGCTCCCAGCACCGAGATGCTCTCCTCCAAAGGAGGAATTGGTGTTTCTCTCCTTGGAAAATCCTGGCCAGGTTGGAGGTAACCTCGTCTCAAGGGTAAAACACCCCTCCACATTAAGAGTTGGGGCAGGAGGCTCGCCGCTCGCTCTCCCACCACGCTCCTTACACTCTCGGAAAGGAGCAGGTCGGAATTGTTTTGATATATGATCTGTAATTGGCATCATTACAGAGCAGTGATCTCATCCAGGTCGTGTTCTCCTCCCCAGGGAGGGAACACAAGCAGGCTCATGGTCCCTTCGCATGGCTGTGATATAATGAGGGAGCCGTGCAAGGAGGAAATGTCTCCAAGTTCAAAGGGACAGGCAGAGGGAGGAGGTGGCTGGCAGGGGCTGGGAGAGGGGCTGCAGGAAGGGGCCTCTGAGGTCTGTGTGGGTTACAGCCCTTACAGCACGGAGACCTCAAAAACAGGGGCTGAAAATACAATGTGGTGTGTACAATTCAGTGTGGAGTCTTATCCCTCCCTCTGCTTGGGTGACACAAAGCAAAGCTGAGTGCAGGAAGTCATGACCCCTTGCAGGATGACCAGGCATCCCAGAAGGAAGGGGGAAAACATGCTCTCACAACAGCTCCTAAATAATTGTCATACCAAAAGGGATGCTCAGCTGGAGCATCCCTTCTTTCTGGAGAGACCTGAATTATCCTGGTGCTGCACTGCCCTGCCAGCCTTTCAGCCTCTGGGGTGTGCATGTGTGTGTGCGTGTGCGTGGTTGAAGGAGGGGAACATGAGCAAATGCAGGTACTGTCTCAGTCTGTATTTTGAGGACTGGATGTGTCTCTGGCATGGACTGGCCAGCTGGCTGACCATTAAAACCAGCTGGCCAAGAAAGGACACGATGAAACTGGAAGCACTGCAAGGAGCCAGCAATCATGTTAACATGATGCCTGGCCTCTCAAAGCTTCATGTTTCCTAAAAGGAGTTCCCTGAAAAGCCTCCCGTAGCAGCCTCTCACTCAGGCAACAGGTCCACAGGACTGCAAGCTCCTTCTTTCCTCCCTCTCACTCCCATCCCCTTCATTGTCTCCTATCCCTGTGCTCCCTGCTCCCTCCTGAGCTGCATCCCGCGGGAGCTGGAGCTCACAAACCTATGCCGTAGCCACCGGCGCACTGAAGCTTCAGGTGGCTGTTGAGCTGTGTGGGCAGCGTGCACTGGCCCTGCATCTCCTTGCAGAGATGAAAGGAGCCACTCCAGGTGCCATCCTTCCGGCAGTGAATCACGTTGCTTCCACGGCCCTGGAATGAGAGGAGATAACGTGGATGGTCACAAAAACAGTAGCAAGGACAGGCTGAGAAGTGAGAAGCAGGCAGAACTGAGCCAGGAGCAAAGTTCTGCTGGATCTCAAAGAGTCCCTGGTTGGAAATGTCAGTGCTGGGGGACGAGAAGGAGTTTTCTTCCAAAGAGTAAAAGAAGGAAACCTGCACTGCATACAAACACAAACCTCTTCTGTGCAATGCAATGTCTTTACAAGGCCCTTGCAAGGTCTCTAGCTTAAAATAGGCCCACTCTAGTTGTGATAAAGGTGCATTCACCCCATTTGCCTTCTTTCTTGTTGAGAGGTTTGTGTTGAATGCAGACAACCTTTTCCCTCTTCCCATTTTCTAACTGGTTGCATCATCTTTGTCTTGAAAATGAAAGAATCCCCAATGGCCACCTGAAGGAGGAAGGAAAGCGGGACATGAGCAGGGATGCTTAGCAGGGCAGAACGTGCTCTTTAGAGCTTGGCTGCCTGAGTGACAGTGAGAGAAGAGTCTGAGACAGACACGCACAGAGGCAGGTGGAAGGGAGAAAAAAAAATCCTCTGGTGCGGGAATGGGCAAGGAATACAATATGACATTTCTCTTATAGAAAAGATTCTCTCTGTGATACTGAAGAATGAATACCAAAGTCCGAGGGGAAATATCATGCCCTTTAGAAACAACAAAGGAGTGCACAGGCAATCTTTTGTCAGATCTATCCTCATGGCATTGGGGATTTCTGCACAAGCTATTCTGCAGGATCTGCGAGCACAACTGCCATGGGATAATGTGGGACACTCAACAGGAGGATGTCTGGTGTGGCACCAAACCTCCCACGGAGGCCTTGCTGGGTGGGAGAACCATGCAGGATCTCTGCTTCTCCTCGCCCATTTTATGTCAGGAATGTTGCCTGCAACCTACCCACCCTGCTCTTGGAAATTGTGCTTGGTATCTGGGGATCCTTCAGTGTTCTGTCTATGCTGGGATCCCAGCAGGGCTGCTGAACTCTTCATAGGAGCTCTTCCCTATGTCCCACACCCATTGCTGCACAGGGATCTGCACAAGCCCCTGGAACATGCATGGAGGATTGAGCAGCTTTCAATGCTAGTCTTGTCCTTAATATCCTAATGCTTTCTTTGCTCAGATTTGCTGATGAACACAGTGTTTGGTGAGATGCAAAGTGGTCTCATTGGCAGACTACTGCGTGGGACCTGCTTCCCCTTCTCTAGACATCTGGCCATTGCCAGCAGTAATAAGAAAATCATATGAAAGGATAATGGACCAGATGGACTCAGGGTGTGATCCAGCCTGGTGGTTCTCACCTAAGGGCCAGTTTGGCAGAGACTGATTAATTTAGATCTGACTGTTCATATGATTTGTGCACCATATTCTGCAATGGAAGACCCTTGCCCTGGGTGCCAGGAGAGGTACCTGCTTAAATGACCATTACGTTGCTGGTGATTAAGAGACGCCATATGTACAGCTGAGTAATGATCTTTCAGCACAGTGACAAATTCAGGAAGAGATTGCTAAGTGATAACGGAGCACAATTTGCTGGGGTAGCAAGCATGGTGCACTTCCATTGCAATCTGCATGCCAGAGTTCAAGTGTGGTTTTTCAAGGTGAGCCATGAAACCTGATTTATGTTCCTGGAGTTGGCTGTGTTTAAAGGTACTATTGTACAGTTTCTGCAACACTCTGAGATCCCAGGATATCTATTGCTATAGTAACATCCTGTCCATCATTCCCTGACCTGCAAAATCTCTTGTGAAAATCCCTGCTGGGTTTCTTACTTGGAAGCAACGTGCATTATCACCTTATATAGCTGAGAGAGACTTAGTGGGGTTTAATCCTTAAATAATTAACACCTCTCAAGTGGTTCTGGTTTGTGCCAGGAGCCCTCCCTCTTTCTGTAGTCTATTTTCTGGGATATCTGGAAATACCTTTCTCTGCAAATCCCTTTCTCAAGATGTTATCTGCTCCTCTGCTCAAGGTGCTTTCCCAGC